AAATTGATTTTGATAATATTCCATTTCTTTTTGACTTCTAATTGCTTCCAATCGACCCTTAGCACTCTCGAACCTTCATCGTGAGCCCCAACATAATTTTTGAGTATTTTCACTTTAGTCCCTGAACTTTCACTTTCTTCTATTTTGGTCATTTTTCACTTGTTTTTCCTTATTTCCGCTACATTCATCACTTGTCCTGCAAAATATGAATTGCATAGAATTCAGCTATATTCCAACATATTAATCAACAATTGCTCATATTTTGACAGTAAAATAAGTATGTAAAAACGTACTTATCAGCAGTCCTCTCACGCTAATACCTAAAACTAGGTTTTGGTAGTTTGCTTGAGGATGGACCTATGATGTATCATTAATTCCTTAACCGAGCAGAGAAACATATAAGTGCAGAGGAGGCAACCTTAGATCAAGACAATGCTAAGGTAGAACCCTGTACCTCAGGCCATCCCAAGGAGAAAAAATAAAAAAAATGGCCGGTTCACAAAAAAAGGAAAGACGGGAAGGACAAGGACCGACCTAAGCTTGACACAGAAATGTTCTATGAATACCACCCATTGAATACTTCATTAGAGATTTATACAGTCAAGAGATAAGGAAGCCTTTCGCAGAACTCTACCCCAAAAGAATAGCTCAATTGGAAAAAGCAGAACAGATATTGTCAATATCACAGGTCGACAGGCCACAACATGAATGATTGGAAGGACTTGAAAGAAAAATTAGAGTCCTTAAGCAGGCAAGGTCATCTTCAGGAGTTTGTGGCTAAACCCTGGAGGAAAAAATAAAACTCACCCCTAACAACACCATCATCCAGGAACAGGCTTGCGACAAGCACAACAAACTCAGCCACACCAAAATTTTCCTCACCGAACTAAAATCAATATGATGATAGGGGGCAATCAATGCACTGAAGGAACTAGTAGGGAAAGGCGTAGACAAGCTCGGAATGCAGGGATATGGCAGAACTACGAGTTGGGCCAACCGAAGTCCAGTCCGGACCCAGAATGTTTTAGATTTTCAGAGGATGATTCTCAAGGAGTTCTATAAAACTAAAGTGACACTTTGGTTATAACCATGCCTGTTGCTGAAATACGAGTTCATCGAACTCTTGTAAACAACAGAAGTTCAATCAATGTCCTGTATTTCCAAACTCTCAAGCAAATGGGTATCCCTCAAAGATATCTTCAACCATATTCCAAAAGATTACAAGTTCTTTGGGGACTCTATTGAAGCTCGAGATCAGATTTCCTTGATCGTTGAGCTCGGTGAAGTCCCTTGTCAAAGAAGATTCATAGCAAACTTTGTAGTGATTGAGCTGCCTTCTAGTTATGACGATATACTGGGCAGACCCATATTGCACGAATTAAAGGCAACCACTTCAATATACCACTACTACGTGAAGTTCTCCACTCCCAGTAAGGTAGGAGTAGTACAAAGAAGTCAACTTGAAGCTAGGTCATCCAATATTGATTTGCCTAAACCTCAAGTTCATATGCTAATAGACGAGTAGAGTACACGGGCTAGGAAAGCAAGGTTGAAGAGACCAATCGTAGCTGACCTCACTCAGGTCAGTATTTCTCAAAAGCACTGCAAGGGGCTAAGGGATAATCATATAACATTCGATGACAAGGAAACAGACCTACGTCCATACACTAGGGTCTTTGTGATCTCAGAACCCATACCCGATGTCAACATCCCCAAAGTTTTTATCAACACTGAAAATACGCTAAATTGGATGATGATCTCATTACATTTTCTACAACCATATTCAAATGTTGTCCTAGGATTAAATGGGGTTCTCACTAAGGCCAAAGGGCTAATCAAACTCAATGTTGACACTGGCAAAGCGCTACGACAAACTAAAGTGAACGCCAAATTCGTTGTGTTTGATTCCACCCCACCCTATGAATGATCTTGGGAAAAGGAAGTCTAGGACTAGCATTTAAAATGGCTGAGTTCAGAGCTACGCATCCTACTGGGGATCACTAGATCAATTAGATGGGCTAGGGATTACCATTTTCACTATACTTAACATCAATCTCGCCAGTAGATCTCCCGTCACCACTGACCTAAAAGAATCAGTCTCTCATTCTTCAGAACAATTTTCCTCACTACCATCGTAAGAACCAACTTCCTAGAACCCCCACTATCCTTAGGTTTTTGTTCCAAGTTTCTAAAAGGACCTAAATCTCCCGGGTTGATTATAGAGATTGGGACTGAAGTTAAGACCTCTTGACAGTCCAAACTAGCAGAGAAGATGGAAGTAAAAGGTATTGATTCTTCCTGTTGGTTACACTATGAATTTACCCTAGACTCATCCGAATTCATGCAGCGGCCGAGGTGAAAAATGCAAGAAAAAGAAAAGTGCTTTCTGGTTAGGGAAATACCTAGGGACAAACAACCTCATTTAGAAAGGAAATGAGATGCAAGGAAAATTTTGCTTACTTGAGAGAGCAAAAGTGTGAAAATGAAAAGAGGAAGGAGGATTTAAAAAATGAGAAGACCAAAAGACAAATTCGAGACCATTGGATAAAGAAAATAAGGGAAAACAAATGACACAAATTTGATGAGCCAAAACTACGTTATTTTGACACTAAGCTTCCAAGGAAACCTATTAAAGGTGCTAGATAGCTCACCTAATCAAACAATGACACCTGTCACTTTAATGTTGTAATAATGACAAATATGGGAAAATGAGCAAACTGTGTTCAAGGTCAGTCCATCACCTAGGTAAGCAAGGACTTTAGGGGGTAACTGTTAGCTTGTTGCATCAACATGGAGCTACAGGGTGTTTGTTAGTAAAAATATTTTATTCCAGGTTATTTATGAAAAAATGCAGTAATTATTCTTTGCAAAAGATGTGATGTTTCTGGTAAGACAACGGATCAATAAATGGTTTCAAGCACAGACTGCAAGCATCGAATGGTTTTATCGAGTCCTTACTGAGTCTTTCTCTCTAAGTACCATACCTAAGTTTCTTCCTCTCATCGTATGTGAAGAACACTAAATCGTTGTTGATCTTTGAGTGTCTTGTAGGCATATTTTGGAAGAAATATTAACAATCGTGAAAGACTATATTTGAATGGGAAATTTGGGGATTGTAGAAACCCTAGGAATTTATTCAACTTTTTCGCTGTTCGTGTTGGAATTGAAAATTTTAACAATAAATAAAAGAAAAGGAAATAAGCATCTTTAACGATATAGATTTTACAACATGCAACAAACGTTGCAAAATGCTATATAGTAAGAGTTTCAACAACAGTCAATAAATATTGTTATAGAACCAGATTTTAATAGCGTTGCAAATGAAATTTTTTGCAATATTTAAGGAACGTTGCAAAAAGTGAAAATTTTCACAACAGTTAATAAACGTTGCAAATTGCTATATATTAAGAGTTTCGACAACATGCACCGAACATTGCTGTAGATCGAGATTTTAACAATGTTCAATAAACATTGCAAAAAATAAAACTTTTCGCAATTGCGAATGAACGTTGCAAAATGCGATATTAGCAACATTTATTTAAAAAATGTTGTCAAAACTCAATTATGTTGATTAATGGTAACAGAATGTTGTGATAGACCCATTTAGCAACACTCAATTAAAGAATGTTGTCTTTTGCGTGTTGTAAAATGTCATTTTGTTGTAATGTACCCATTAGATGACTCCTACTTTGGTCTGGATTTGTTTTCTAACCCTCTCTACTCAGCTCCTCTTCCAGTTCATGTTACCAATGTTTCTAGACAGTCGGCGACAATGACTTTTAGTGAAATCCGATTAAGTCTCTTCTTCAAGTTTCTCTACTCGAGAAATGCTCTCGGGCTGATGAAACAACTTCTTCATTTTGAGAAGGCATTAATGAAGCAATTATTTGCACAATATCTGATACTAGATGAATAGGAGTATGTATGTTTGTGTGTGTGGGTGTGTGAGAGAGAGAGAGAGAGAGAGATTTTCAAAGTTATTTACTGACATTGAGATGTAGTTGGGCTTTGAGACTCACTTTGCTTTTCCTTGCGCAACTGGGCAAGAAATGGAGAAGAAGATGGTAGATGAGTGTGGGTGGTGTCAAAGGTTGGGATGGGAAAGAAGAATGTGTTTTCTATTTCTTTTCTTTGATTATTTTAACTTTTTTATATAAAAAATGTATATAAAGTTATCATTTTTCCCTCCACTTAAATGGTCAGAAAATATTAGATTTTATTTTTCTTGGTCAACGAATGGCAAATTGAACTAATTTTATCCATGTGTCGTTGGCACTCGAAACATTTGAAATTACGGGTGCGATAAATGAAGAATTAGGGTAAAACCTGTAAAGATTTAAAAGGTTTGGAGCCGTAACTGCAATTATCCTTTATTTATGTGTAAAATATAAAAAAGGGTATTTTGGTCATTAGAAAATGTATTGTCAATCAATGCAAAAGGTTGAAACAAAATCATAATATTCCCTAATATTTTAACTCCATAATTTTCTTCTGTCTCAATCAATCACCTCTATCCTACTGTCAACCTCTTTTCATTTCCACAAAAGCCCTAATCAGGTCGCTCCAGCACACCACTCTCTTTCTTTCTCTCTCTATATCTATCTCTTATATACAGACAGAGAGTACTGAGTATAGCTACAGTTTTCCCTTTTCGGAAAAAATATTAGCCGATCTCTCCTCAAATATTTGCAGAAAACAAAGCCATAAAAGCTAACCAAACATCAAATAACTTTCAAGGTTTTCTAGGATTGATCAAACATCCTAGTAACTGTTCATATTGTTCCCTTTCTCTCCCTTGTCATCCTATAATCATCTTCTAGAGATGTCAGTCTTTTGACTCTTTACCTTTAAACCCCTTCAAAAATGGAAAAAAATGAATCCTAATTGATGCAGTTTGTTTAATTTCTTGATCCAGAATTGTATGTTTGACCTGGATGCCCTAGTGGCTTAGTGACTGCACCTCTCGTTCTTCTCTGTGAGTCCAGATCAGTAGAGCAGCCATGAACCCAACTCAAAAAATAGACTCTGCAAGCACAGAAATCACTAGTTTCACCATTAACACCCCACTTAACAGTACCAACTCAATGGTGGATTCCACTTCTGGCTCCTCTTCCACGGCCGCATCTCCGACAACTCTAAGCCGGTACGAGAACCAGAAGCGGCGTGACTGGAACACCTTTGGCCAGTACCTTCGAAACCACAGGCCGCCACTCTCCCTCTCCCGCTGCAGTGGAGCCCATGTCCTTGAATTCCTCAGATACTTAGATCAGTTTGGAAAAACTAAGGTTCACAATCCGCTCTGTCCCTTTTTTGGGCACCCAAACCCGCCTGCACCATGCCCTTGCCCCCTGCGCCAAGCCTGGGGAAGCCTTGATGCCCTTATAGGCCGCCTCCGGGCCGCCTATGAAGAAAATGGAGGCAAGCCTGAAACAAACCCCTTTGGGGCCAGAGCAGTAAGGCTTTATTTGCGCGAAGTCCGTGATTTGCAGTCGAAAGCTCGGGGAATCAGCTACGAGAAGAAGAAGCGAAAGACGCCACCGCCAGACCAGCAACATGCACTACCACCGCCAAATTCAAGTTAGTATGGACAACATCTGCGTGAAAGTTGTTGCCAACTCAAAATATCACTTCATATATGGTCTTATCTACTACCAATCTTAGCCACTGCATCATCTATAATACATTATGAAAAAAAGTACCTAAAATTGCCCTTTAAATGCAAGATTTATTATTGTCTTTCTGCAAAAACGGTGCTTATATTTCATGAATACTGTTGAGCTTTCTGCAAGAATTTAATTTCATATTGCAAGTGACAGTTTTTGTACTAGTTACAGGTTATAAGACTGACCAGATTGTCATGGATTATTAGTATCTGAACAGCCATTTATGACGAGTAATAGATTTTGCATATCATGTTTCTTGTCTTTTTTTTCCATTATTTTCTGGCTTTTTAAATAAGGAAAAGATGTGTGTTATAACTCTTCAGCACGAATTTTGTCATTAGTGCAGCAAATTTAATAAAAAGGGATGAGTTTTCAATTGCATACTGTGCATTTGCTAATTTTGAAACTGAAATTATCAAATAAAGGGCATGTCTTTCTGCGTGTAGAATTACACAAAGCCTTGTATTCTGCTACCTGTTGACTAGGTTAAAAAGATTCTACTGAAATTTTTCCTTCACTTTGTATTTTCGTGGTCGCTCTTCATCTTTGAAGTTGTATATCAAACCTAGTAGGGTTCAACCTTTCGACTCTTCATGAAGTCTTGTGTTTGGAAGGAGGGGTGGGGGTATGGCGAGGGTGTCTCAAATGGTCTATGAGCTCATTAACTTGCAAATCCATCGCCCATTTCTCAATTGTCATATCGCTCGTGTACGTTCCCCAAAGAGGAGATATCATTAAATTAAACAGTATAATTTAGTTAGGTATTCATTAAAGGCTATGTCTTGATACCCCATTCATTTTGCCGGTGTCCAAGAAACATACATGTATCAAGATTTACAAGGCATCTTAGTAATCCATCCTGCAGACTTGCTGATACTACGCTAACCCTCTTTTTGCTCTAGAAACGACGCGCGAATTATCAGAGATGAAAGTTTTCCGTCGCTGTTAGCACGGAATCAGTGATGGCTAAACTCTGTCCTTAATAATCTGTCGGTGTAGGCCTTTGTTTGTATATGCGTTTTAGACTGAAGCCAATTGATTTGTATCAACTTGCACAATCAGAAATCACTAGATTTAAGCAGTAGTATGGGATTAAAGAGTTTTTTAAATATTGGGGACCCATAAGATGGAAGAAAAACGGGGGGAAAATGAATTTTTTAGCCATTTCTTTGTACATTTTTTATATATAAATAATTGGCAGTAACTTACTGTGCCAATCAGTAAGATGTGTATCTTTTTTATAGGAATATTGTTTTATTTCAAAAATTTGGATTCTTCCATGAGATGATTTCATAGTCAAATAGCATTCCTAAAGCCATTATTTCACTATGATTAGAGTAACATTTTTTTTTTTTGTTTAATCTAAATGTGGTAAATCAATAAAATTGAGTTGTATGAATTATTTTTTGAGCTAATTGGCATGATCCTTGATGGGCTTGCAAAGCCATTGAGCATAAGGCTTGTTAATTTCTGGAAAAAGCATGTCTTTTGATATATATTCTTTCCAAAATTCATTCTTTCAATACTCATTTTCAACAATACATTTTCAATAAAATAATATTATACGCAAATTCAAAATTTTTACTTATTTTTTAACCATACATTTTTCATCACATCAAATCATAAAATGTGTTTCTTTCTCATTAATGTGCATCAAACACCCACTTATATAGCATTGATTGTCCTTGAACAATATAGCTAAGATGGGCTCTATAAGTTGATGACACTTTGAATGTGCATTTAGTACGTAGGATTAGATTGACATGATTACTAACAACTTAAATTACAGCCAGTTTGGCCCCCATTATTTTTCACTAGATATAATTCATTCTCTTCTTATCAATTACATATTACATGTAAATTCAAAACTTTTTTCTTCACACATTCTCCAAAAAAATTATTATTCATCTCATTATAATATGTAATAATGGGGTCGTACGAGCGTTTTTTATTGTAAACACATTACTTACTTTACCAAGCTGTGGGTTTTTATTTTTTATTTATTTATTTTTTTTTTCATTTTGTGATATATAAATCAGCATTGTCAAAATTCTGAAAAAAACTTATAGCTGTTTGGCAGTAGTGCCTAAAAAGGAACTTGTTCAACTGCTTTTTTGGCACGACATAGAGACATACAGCTAAGAAAGCGGCTTTTAAGCACTGTGTAAAATCTCATTCCTTTGAACTTCTATCATCATTAAAGTTTGTTGTTCTGATGTAGGCCTCTCATGGTTTCTTGTTTTAGGGTTAGTATTTTCTCTCTTTCATATTCTACCTTGGTAGACTTCTGCAATTTTATGCACGTGCTTGGCTATATATATAGGCAAATAGGTTGAAAGGAACACCTAAATAAGAATCTATGCTATACATCCATAGGATTAGGAGCTTCTGTATATAATCAATGATGTCAGATCATGCATAATGTTTCCCCTCTTATTCAATTATTGTCATGGTCATTGATATCTAGCAAAAACAGATATATTTTGAACACTAGTGGGCAGGATGAGCCCGGTCGATGCTTTCTTTAGTGTTTTTGCATAAATCAGAGGGAAATTATGGTGGATTTCGAACACAAACTAGCTTGAAATATGTTTAAATTTATGTGCACTTTTAGCTTTATACCTGTTCTAATTAGTTTCTTTTTCCCTTGGTTTACACGGTCTATTTATGTACTAGAAATTAATAAAACTTCTGTGACTTCTATCACGTTTTCTGTCCCTCGTGGGAGAGTTCCAGTCCCCTAAAACCACTAGATATGCCATCCACCACCACCTCGCCACCACCACTACCACCCTTCGACCACCACTCCATCTACCAGGGCATTGGGCAAATATTTGACCTCCACTTTCTATGAGCGTGCTATTCTTCCTCATCTATTCCTCCCTTTTTTTTTCTAGGTGCGCCATATATAAAAGAACTTGTTTTAGAAATCAAAATCCAGGTTTTTATTTGGTTGGTCAGTGAGCATTTGCTAGATTGGGATTTCGCTTAAGCTAACTTCCCCCAAATCTCTTTTCGTACATTAGCACAGAGTTTTCTTAAAAGAGTTATTTCTAGCTAGGGTGATAAAAATGGGGACAATGCAATAGTTGGTAAGATTTGATTGGTAGAAAAACTGTTTTTTTTTAAACTGGTCAATAGTGTGTTGTCACGTATAAAAAAATATTGTAAAGGACAATGTACATATGGCATGATTGTAAAAATGGACACATTCTAGAAAGTTTTGCTTAAACGAATAGAAAATCTTGCTAAGGTCATCTGTGTAGAACATGAACACATTCAATTACCATTCAAAGAATAAGGCTGAGGCAAGATTTCATGTTGTTAAGAAGAGTAAAATTCTATATCCATTAAATATAAATACTAACTATAAATAGGATAAGCCCATGTTTGACATCCATTATTTTTTTTTTCTCTCTCTCTCTCTTTCTCTTTCTCTTTCTCATTCTCATTTTTTTCTTTATTTATATCACCCAAACATTCTCCAAATAAAATAATATTACTTTTTCACCACACATTCTCACATCAGTCACTATTCCAAAATTTTTATTCTCATACAAATGAGATTCAAACACAAGCTAGGTGGGAGTAACTCCTCTTTATAAGTGAAAAATACTGAAATATAATAGCGAACTAAACCGGACATTTAGACCCAACACCACCTAGATCTGTAATGTGGAATTAAAATAATCAATAAAAATTAACGAATCACTTATTTATTTATTGTTTCTAAATGATTTAAGTTTAATGTCAAATTAAGCCCAAATTGTTAAAAATAATGTTAATTGTACATAGTGGAGTTATATGATGATTTATATACAGATAAGGCGTCCAAAAGAGGGGGGAGTTTTTTTTTTTTTGGTTGAAGAAATTCTGACCCAATTATTTCTCACAATATCATGTGTGTGTATGTGTGTAAATCATTACGTACATATAGCACAACCAAAGTGTTAATCATGCAATATACATTAAAAACAATAAAAGTAAAGAACTCCAATTATGGTAACGAATGAAAATTCCTTGAAGAACTTTTCACATGGATCAAAAACCTTCGGGCAAACTATTAGAAAAAAACAAATGCTAGTTTGTTAGGAACAAAAGATGAGAATCGACAATATGAAAACATACGAGAATACAAGATTTAGGAGGAAGCCCAATTAGGGAAAAAATTACGGGTAGAGGAGAATTCACTAATATCAAATAAAGCAAGAAAAATCTAACAAAAGGTGGACTCCTAATATAATTGGTATAGCAAATAACGGAGTGTTTGAGATTGAATATGAGTGAAAAACTATCAAAATCGCGAAATCCAATTGCACCAGATAGCACGACCACTTGAGCGATGCCCTCACGGCTAGTGAGCGGTGCCACGACCGCTCGAGTGCTTGCCTAGCTATTAGCGAACAATGATGTTACTGAAATCTCTGATGAGCGGCTAGCAAACGGTATTTAACGCGAATCTTCTCATTGCTTACGTCTTTGACTTCTTCAACTACCAACTTCGAATAAAACTCCCAAATAGAATTCAAAATAGAACTTTTCAAATTGAATTCGGTTCACAACTGAATAACACAAATCTTACCAAAAGATCTACTAAAAAAGATAACTTACGAATGAAAATTCCTTGAAGAACTCTTCACATGGATCAAAAACCTTCGGGGAAACTATTAGAAAAAACAAATGCTAGTTTGTTAGGAACAAAAGATGAGAATCGACAATATGAAAACATACAAGAATACAAGATTTAGGAGGAAGCCCAACTAGGGAAAAAATTACGGGTAGAGGAGAATTCACTAATATCAAATAAAGCAAGAAAAATCTAACAAAAGGTGGACTCCTAATATAATTTCCATAGCAAATAACGGAGTGTTTGAGATTGAATATGAGTGAAAAACTATCAAAATCGCGAAATCCAATTG